CAAGATGGTAATGGCGAGGGATTTAGAACTGATTTGACCAGATCGTCATCTGGTCGGCGCAGAACATGGCCAAACCACCGAAGGCGGCGTTGTTGGACCAGTACTGGAATTTGGTTGATGTTGTAGCAACGACGACGCACTTCTTCGTTGGAGAGTTTGTCCTGCCAACGAACATGCAGAATGTACCTGAGACACCAATGGTCTAATACCTCGAGTCTGCGTAAATCTTCCGCGCGAAGAGGCCAGGTTTCACAGCCATACAGGAGAACGGGTCGTATGGAAGCTTGGTAGACCCGAATTTTAGTCCTGAGACTGATTTCTCTCTTGCTCCATAGAACGCTCCTCAGCTGTAGAAACGCATTCCGGGCGTTGGAGATTCGCGCATTCACTTCGTTTTTCGCTTGGCCGTTGGGGAGCATTATGGATCCCAGATATCTGAAGGATGGCACAATTTCAATAGGTGCTCCATTTAGGGATAAGATTTCATCATTGCTGGTGGATGTGTTCGAAAACATTTTGGTTTTGGAAGTGTTAATTTTCAAACCGATAGTAGGCGCGAGGTGGTTTATCTGGTCGAGCGCCTGTTGCATATCGGGGAAGTTTTCAGCTAACAGCACGACGTCGTCGGCGAATTCGAGGTCGGTTATGTGAATATCGGGCGAAAGTTGGACGCCGTGGTGCTCGGTTAGGGCGTGCCGCAAAATCCAATCAATTGTGAAATTGAACAGGATGGGGGATGCTGGACAACCTTGCCGGACACCGCTGGTTACCTCAAAAGTGCGGGACTCTTCACCGTTCACTCGGACTCGAGCTTTGGTGTTGGAGTAGTATGACCTGAGCAGGTTGATTAGCTTGGTCGGAACTCCGTCGAGCTCCATTAGATACCAGAGTGCTCCTCGATCAACTGAGTCGAATGCCGCTTGGAAGTCGATGAAGCAAGCAACCGTCGGCTGTTGGAATTTGTCCCTGTGTTCCAAAATTCTTCGCAGTGTGAATAATTGATCAACACAGCCTCTTCCAGGTCGAAATCCGGCTTGATTTGGCCTTGTTCGCACGTGGCGTTCGGCCGCGAAGCGGTTCAGGAGAATGGAAACAAAAACCTTAGCAGCGATATCAATCAGACTTATGCCTCGGTAGTTCTCGCATATTGACCTGTCTCCCTTTTTGTGGAACGGTAGCAGAACTGAGGTGCTCCAATCGGAAGGAATGGTTTCGGACTCCCAAATTGAGCAGAACAGCGAGTGCAGTGCATCGATTAGCGCTGGAGTGCAGGCCTTGTATATTTCTGGGGTAGACCATCTTCGCCCGGAGCTTTTTTGTTTCTGAGTCTGTTAATTGTTTTAGCTATTTCGGTTGGAGTGGGTGGATCGCAGTCAACTACGTAGGGTGTTGGTAAGTGTCGTATCGGTCGATGAGACGGTTGACCAGCGTCGCGATTGAGTAGCTGCTTGAAATGTTCGGCCCATCGTTCCATCTTACCATTGGTGTCCGAAATAATTTCTCCTGATGCTGTGCGTAACACAGCATGACTGTTAAGGCGTTTGCCAGATGATTGGCGTATGAGGCGATAAAGTTTTCCGAAATCGCCTACATTTGATGCTGCTTCCATGTTAGTCGCCACGTTAGACCAATAGCGATTTCTGTCGTTCCTAGCAGACTGTGTAGCTTTGCGCCTGAGGGAGCGATAAACTGGAGACTTTGCTAGGCGAGCGTCTCTGGCTTGCGAGGATAGAAGCATGGTGTGCTCTGAAATCCAGTCTTTCTGCTTCTTGGATGTGGTACCCAAATGCGACATTGAAGCTTTAGAGACTACTTCTTTGAAATGATTCCATCGTGTCTCGGGTGTATTAGAAGATGTGGATGTTGGTTCATCTGCGGCGCTTAGTTCGGCCTGGATTTGTTTGGACAAGGCTTGTCGCTTTGTCGAACATTGAAGCGGGGCAACATTGATACGCTTCGGAGGTCGCGCCTTCTGGCGTGTCGTTAAACGAAGTTTGAATTTCGCCCTAACTAGAGTATGGTCTGATCCCCCTTTATTTCCGGCCTCTGCTCCACGATAGGATCGACAGTCTTCCACCGAGGAGATCCAGCGTGAGCGCACTAGGATGTAGTCGATCTGATGTGCAGTGCGACCGTCGTTCGAATACCAGGTGAGAAGATGTTTTCTGGGGTGTTGAAATCGAGTGTTGGTGATATATAATCGATTGTAATCAGAAAAAGCTAAAAGTCTATCACCATTACGGCAGCGCTGATCGAGACCGTGTTTGCCTAGTATATGTTTTGTCGCGTCGTCTGAAGGGCCAGTGCGGGCGTTCCAATCGCCGGCTACTATGAGAACGTCACGCTTTGGGATTTTGTTGATTGCCTCTTGAAGATTGTCATAAAATTCGTCTTTGATACTTTCATCAGAGTCGAGGGTTGGGGCATAGACAGCGAGAACAGAAATGTCGAGCGGGGAACCCTTGAACCTAGCGACTGCAACTCTGGAGTTGACCGGTTCGAATGATATTAGGGCATTATTGGCTTTGTTACTGAGAGCAAATGCTACCCCATGTTGTCCCGAATTATTCTGGGGTCCACTATGAAGCAACCAGAATGAAGAATCTGTTCCAGGTACGGCTATTCGGCGGGAGCCATGATCGGGTAACCTCACTTCAGATAGACACGCTATGTCTACCTTGTAGTCATATAAAGAACGCATGGTGATAGACTGGCTACCAGGATCCAACAGCGTCCTAACATTCCAGCAGCCAACAAATAGTTGGTTTCTAAGTGTTAATTTCCCAGCTAGCTTACTTTTCACACTGGCCACCGGGTGAGCACAGGGCGCGTCGCTTACCGGGAACGCCGTAGCATGGTGAGAGTTGTTTGTAGGAGAGTTCATGAAGTTTCTTGGGAATTTGGTACGAGTGATGTCCCCAGCATCGCTCGGCCTTTTGTTTGAGAGTGCAGCTCTAGCCTTTACACAGCCAAGTGTGACCTACAAGGCAGTAGGAGTGGAGTTAGGAGTCCACTATCCATTGGCAGCCGGTGACCGGAGTTCGGTTCATACGCCTTTTTGAATGGGGCCAGACATCCAGGACATCCAACAAGCCCTTTGTCCATACGTCTGCCGCTTTTTTTTTGTGAGCTTCATACGCCAGTCGTTGAAGGTTTGGAATCAGGGTTTAGCCATCTCCCCTAGACTGTCATCCAATGGACAGTCAACCCGGTGGAGAGCGCCGGGCATCCGCTTTTGCCCTCTCACTTTAGTGAGAAACACCTCCGCCACGTGAAGGCAGTGAGTAGGACTTCCTCAGGAGAGGCTATGTAAGACGCACGGTCATATGGGAGCATTTCAAGAGGTGTGCGGAGGGGTGGCCAACCCGCAGCGCAAGACACCCACCCCCGACCATCCTGAGGCTTTGGAGGCCATTGTCTACATATTGTCTACATATATGCATATACTAACTTTGTTATTCCTATCACCTATATAAGCCTTATTATCAATATTTTGTTATTATTATAATCATCGTTATTAACTTCGTTCAAAACATTTACTACATTATTAATATTATGATTATTATTATTATTAGGATTATTATTATTTGATCCACAAAATCACCGTCATTGGTTAAAATTATATATATATATAAGTCTATGTAAATTAGAGTAAAGCTTGAAGAAGATGTAATTGAAAACAATATTGTTCGCTTATATGTCTTGTTTTATTAGTAATAAGACACCTAGTGTCTTTGAGATGGATTATGAAGCAGATAGGACGTTGATTATCAAGCTACAAAAATATCTGGAATATTGGACAGTGCACTTTGGAAAAAATAGATGTTGCCTAGTCCAGGTGTTTAATATTTTTAATAACAGTTTTTATTTTTTTATTTTTGATTACAGCTTGATTCCACACCGTATTTTTGGTGCAAGTATGGAATTTTCAGCGTGGATATCGGTAGCCGAAATTTCGCAGGCCGACCATAGATATCAGGTGTGCGTCGGCGTGGGCTCGAACCCCGGACCATGTGCATGGTCGGCGAGAGTCCTAGCCTTTGTGCCACCGACGCACACAAAAAGTGACCGCCCCGCGAAAATGTACAAGGCAGCCTCCAAAAATGGGTAAGTGAATCTGTGGGTAGGTGGCTAACACAGATTCACCTGAAGAAGCAAAAGCTCAAGAAGAACTCCAAGTTCTCAAGTGCCATAAGATGATCAAATCAGACAACTTGACCTCTACTCTTTTTAAATACGGTAACGTGACCCCCTAGTCAAAGAATTGACGAGACTGTTTGAAAAAGTGTGTGAGTGTGCAGAGTTGATCTTGAGCGGTGTCCAACGTAATTAAGTAAAACAGTTGTAAAGTCAATCTGGACTACCATATCGATACACCTTGTGGAAACAAATCACAAGACTTGCAAAAATGTAGCCTTTACAATTCTATCCTACATCAATTTCCTAAGTCTGTTTATTTATTTTATTTTATTGAAACGCAGAAAAAGCTTGGTACAATAAGGCACCAAGAAGGATGCGCCACACTAAATTTCATTTGTTGTGTGAGGGCTGAGATACTGCCCGAGCATTCAAACCGAAGCAGGTGGTTTTCTTAAGGGACCACCCCACGAGCCTTTGACTTGGAGTCTAACCCGCAAGGCAGCGGAGCAGCGTCAGGAGCTGCATTCCCATGGTTCTCGGTGACCCATATAGGTTCATACGCCATTTGACCCGATTGGATTCTGGAGCCCATGTACCCCATGGTAATTGCTTTTAGTTTAACCGCTATCCAAACAACCTTCCTGATATGGTACGACATGAGTCCCAGCCAGTTTAACTTGTTGGGTCACTGCGGTATTCAAGTCCGACCACCACGACAGGGTAGCAGTTATCGACTGGGGCTAAGTCTGTACGCCTTCGACTGCTAAGCATAGCTGAGGCAGTTGACATAAAATTTAAATTATAGCTGACAGTAACAGTAATTAATATATATACATATATTATATATTTTTTAATTTTAGCCCCAAGACCAACAAACTAATTCCTTTCAAAGGTTTTGGTAATACACTTTATCAAGTTGACGTCGATCTTGTGAACCGAATAAACACACATCAAAACTCATGGCAAGCAACAGTTTACCCTGAACTGTCAAAGTACACGATGGCTGAAATAAGAAATCGAGCTGGTGGTGTAAAGTCTTCACTTTCTAGGTAAATTTATGCTAAACATTTTGTATGAATAATGCCTGCTTTTTCTTTTTCAACTACCAGTGATATTCTTGGAGATAATACCTCCTATTGAATACTTTCAGTTAGTTTAAAATTTACTTAATGACACAAAAGAGTGCAGAGTTATGTACTCTTAATTTTAAACTTCTTAGCTATCTATACTGGCAACCTCTAACAGTATTGAATCTCTACTTTTCCAGACTGTCAACGATTGTTTGACCATTAGCGCATTGATACATAGTTAAATTGTTATTTCTTTAAGCTGTCAGTGATTCTCACTTCCAGCCAACCGTCATCAAAGAAATCGAATACTAATATCAGGAATATATGTACTCATCAGTTAAATTTATAAATATTTGCGTGGGGTGGTTGGAAAATGTTATTTACTGAATTCTGGTTCAACTACTCATTCAAATCCTCATTGTTAGAAAGGAGTTCACAGTCAAGTAGTGTGATGATTTACGTTTATGTAAGGTGTGATTGGAGGCAATTGGCAAGAACCCCCCCTAGATATACGTTTCGTGCTTGTTGGTACTTGTCGGCAAGGCGTATCTGCCACCTTGAAAGGATTCAAAAACGGTACTACTGACCTGTTCAGATTGACGACGACCGACCTTCTGTAGGCTCCGTTCTCATGGTTGCGGGTAACTAAACCAGGTTTATGCGCCATTCGATCGGTTCGGATTCTGAAGCTCGTATTCACTATAGGTTTGGAACCAAGGTTTTCCAGCTTGTCTAGGTAGACCACAGCATATCCACTAGTCTGATTGTAATCGTCAAACGTTTGTGTCCTCCTGTTCAATTTTGTGAGGGGCGACCGCCTACCGCATGTAGGCGGCGAATAGGATTTACCTGGTAGAGGCTGTGGGGACGCGTGGTCACGTTAGAGCATTTTGAGCGGAAGACCGAAATCTACCCACTCTTGGTTGTATCATTTCTTTTTTTGGTGTGTGGTGGTGGGGGGGTTGCAGGTACATCCTTGGAGAGTTATTTGGTGGTTGTCGACATTTTGTTATAGATAAAGAAATTATATTTATACTACTATATGTCTTCTAAGTCATGGGGAAGTTCACTAAAGGATTAGCCTACTGGGAGCATAACTTCCCATTAATCGAGTATGTATCATAATCCAGCACATAAATTTGCTACAGGTTATGGAGTAGTAGTTGCATATACTATTCCCGAAGAAGTAGCACAGCTAAACCTAGGTAATATTATATTCTTCATGTTATTTAACAGAGTAATGCATGTGTTGGTATTCATTCATCTCGTTTCAGACCTGCGACAATGTTGCACAGAAGCAAGGCATCAGAAGAACTTCTTGCGTTAACTAGAAATCTCCCGACAGAATTTGATTGGGTCAATCCACCAAATGGTCTACGTAGTCCTGTTACACCAATTCGTAATCAAGAATCTTGTGGTAGTTGTTATGCTTTTGCATCTGCTGCTGCACTTGAAGCTCGTATTCGTCTAGCTAGCAATTTCACTCTACAGCCTATTCTATCGCCTCAAGCTATTGTTGACTGTAGTCCTTATTCTGAAGGTAGTTTAATCAAATTTATTCCATGTGTGTGTGTGCGTGCGTGCGTGCACATGTATATCTCTAAGGTAGTTTTTGATTGCTAGTGTATGGAAGGAATTTCCGCGACTTACTAACACTAAAAGGTTATTTTCATCTGAAATCTAAGTATTCACTGTATATTACTGTGTGGGCACCGATGGTGGTTCACTGGCAGAATAATGTTCACCAGTCACGCCCTCTCAACTAGTTAGTAAAGTCAGTATAGAAAGGAGATTCAAAGTGAGCCTAATGACACCTCAGAGGTCATTGGTTCTTACCATCCAGAGGACTCCAACTAGTCAGACAGTCCTACACCTTCCTACGTAGCTGGCTGTCTGAAACTAGCTGTTGTGGATTTAATCATTGACTGATGAAGACATGTTTTGGTTTGACCATCACTACTGGCTCTTCCACAACCTCATTCTGTATCAGCTAACATTGCCCGTCGTTAAGCGAAAGCGATGGCTAGACATGCGTAACACATGTCCTAACCATCTCAATCGGTGTAACTTCACAACGTCATCGATTAATTTTCCCTCCTTGCATAACATTTGACGCTTAACTTCAGTATTACTCATCCTATAACACCTACCACCTAACAGAGGAGATAGAACGCAGACACCTATGATCAACAACAGCTGGTCATGCTCTTCATATCTTCCACTTTCAATATAATAGTCAGTATCATTAATATTAAGAGCAGACTTTTGGCACTATGGTAGAATATAATTCCATATTAGATAAGTTCACTTGATGTAACCTTTTGAGCATCATTCATTAATTGCTCATAATAATATCAATTTATATTCACACAAATTCCTGTCTTACCTTTTTAATAGTGTAATTCCCCATATCATCCGGGATATACTGGTGTATCATTTCGTTGGTATGTATTTGGTGTTGACTGCATGAAGAAACATTCGGTAATTAACCTTTCCTCTCTCCACCTATGGGATGGTGAAATCTAATTATGCAAGCTTATGAAGTCATTGATCTTTGTTCGATGTGAACTGTATTCACAGATGGCAGTTGATTATTTCACCTTTTTCTGGATGTAAATAATCAATATTTGGAGATCCTTTGTCATGGATGATATAAATATGAATCTTTTAGTATAACACAAATTGATTCATGAGTTATCTTTTCCAAATTCTTAAAGTTATTAATTCTCATTAAATTGTTCTCCTTATCTCTCCTTTCTTATTCATGTTTGTCTTTTGTAATGCCGTCCATTTTTAATCTTTCTCGGAAGTTTCATGGCATATTTATTGACATGGGCTATAACACAATTTGCACTTATATTTTTTCTTAAAGTTTCACCACGGATTGATATCAGATAGGGAAACTCTGAAAACGAGAAGCGGAGTGCTAGACAGCTGTTTCGTTCCAGTTTGGGACTCATCCGACGTACGCACCTACTACCAGGATTCCAACCCAGGACTTTCCGGTTACAAGGAAAGCCCATCGAGAATTCAGCCACTAAAACCCTACTGAATGACCCACAACCCATGAGTTCTAACTTCTACCAATTCGTGATTTTAGCGCAACTGTCATCAGCCAGCGTCATCCATGGTGAGTATTTATCCTCAGTCCCGATTGGGTTGACCCCGCTGGTAACGTCTTCACACTAGAATTCTGGTCAACTCCGTCCTGTAACCAGTCACTAACGATCATCAGATTAATTTTGAAGAATTAGACTCTAGGGATTTGATTTGTTTCAAGTATGATCACGGGTCGATATCAGTTAGAGAACCATTGAATGATCCACATGCATGACTTGTAACTGGAAGGCCCCAAGTTCGAACCCTGACAGCGGATGTGTAGTGCTGATGAGTCCCAAGTTAGGACGAAGCAACTGTCCAGTACTCTGTAAAGGTTTTCAATGGTTCTGTAACTAATATCTATCCGTTATCAAATTTGAAGTAGATGAAAAACTACCTATAAACAAATTTTTGTATATATATATATATAATGTTTTAAGTCAAGTGTCTGTAACACTTATTTGACTGTTTAGGTTGTAGTGGTGGTTTTCCTTTCCTGATTGCTGGAAAATATGCTGAAGATTTTGGATTTGTACCAGAAGATTGTGATCCATATACTGGTATAGATGGCGACAAATGTCCTATATCCAAAAACTGTACTCGATATTATGCTACAAATTATGGTTATATTGGGGGTTATTACGGGGCGACTAATGAAGAACTTATGCGATTAGAACTTGTTAATAATGGTCCATTCCCTGTTGGATTTGAAGTATACGAAGATTTTCAATTTTATAAACAGGGTGTCTATCGTCATACAGGACTTCATGTGAGTTCCCTCCACCCCCCACCATTGATTTTTATATTACTTTTATTATTTTTAAAGTTGAAGTTGATTTTGTAAGCTGCGAAGTCGAATTAGTATTCAACTACTACAGAGAAATCCTTCAAAACTACTCTTAAACATCAACAATCCTTGATAAAGTTCAACTGTAGACACCTAAGAGATGCGGATGAACCATTGGTCTTGGAACGAGAGATTACACTAGAAAGTGAATTCGACCCCCCCCCCTCCACCCCTCCCTAACCCTAACCGACCTTAATATCTCTCTAACTAGGCTAACCTAATCCTAACCTGCCTTTAGCCTAAAGCTAACATTAGTCATTCCCTAACCTTACTTAAAAGTAACCAGATATCCTGTTTGATATCATTTTCATTTGCCTGGTTATATTGTCTTGTTCTGAGTGGGTGTTCCAAGGTGATCATTGGTGCTTCCATCGGAGTTCGAACCCAGAACCTTCTGGTTACAAGGCGAGCTCATAGACAATTAATCCACTGGGAACCGATCCAATTTCTCTGGATAGCCCTGAAAGACTAATCAAGTTCAAGTTTACTAGAAGAAATGGCTAACAAACTCGCTAAGAATTCTAAAAGCTCACCTCAGTTTGAAGTATGGCGGTGAAGACGTTGCCTAGAACGACAACGAAATCTTCGTCACCACACCATCCGGCTCAGAGAACATAACTACACCAAAATAATTCACCTCAGCAGCTACAAATCTTCCATTATATCTGAAACACCAATTTTCCAATCTTCTAATTTCATCCTGTTTCCTTTTTTCTCTTGTTTATGTTTTTTTACTTGTTAGAGTAATCGATACGGTTTTGATCCATTCGAGTTGACCAATCATGCTGTTCTATTAGTCGGTTATGGTGTGGATAAGTCAACTGGTGAACCCTACTGGAAAATAAAAAATAGTTGGGGTCCTGGATGGGGTGAAAAAGGATTCTTTCGAATTCTACGTGGAGTCGATGAATGCGGTATAGAAAGCTTAGGTGTTCGATTTGATCCTGTCCTATAAGCAAGCATACACTTGTGTGTGCGTGTGTGTGTGTGTGTAAAGCTAAGCTCTACACATCTTTACTATTCTTATATATAAACGAACAAATCATTCATGATGCATATGACTTCAACTCTTACATTTGATCTGCCTAATCTGTAATCTCAATTGTTCTATTATTATTATTATTGTAATTTTTTGATACATTTATTTGAGACTATTGAAATTAGATGGATCGATAGAAGCCGGTGATTTTAAACAATAACTATTTCGCAGACCACAGCGTACATCCATTTTAGATCTGTCCTGTCCCTCTTTGTTGCCTTTTGATATATTTTTCAAGCTATTCCTAAGCGTTTCATGTTTTTAACGCGTTGATTATTTATGAGTTACAAATAGACAATTTACAGGCATAAAACTGCCTTTTCGTTGAATTTTCAGCAGTGATGTTGTTTTGCTTTTTCTCACTGAAGCTGCTGACCTTCCTCTCCTTCCCCAAAGATTTTCTTTTTATCCGAGCCTACTACCACCGGCTACATGAGGTTTAGGTGTACTTCGACCGGGAATCGAACTCGAACCTGCAGCCAGCATGGTTGACATGCGAGCATTCTACCATCGATGCACAAAGTTAGGCTTTCTCATCCTCTTTTCGAACACTTCGACAGTATGTATCCTGCCGGGAATCGAACTCTATGACTTTCAGATTACCATGCAAGGCTGTTGAACATTCAGCCACTGGGTTCATTATGCTGCAGACTTACGAAATTTTCCATTTAGAACAAGACATAAGCGAACAGTACTGCTGTTTTCAATTAGAACTTCTTCAGGCTTTACTCTAATTTGCATAGATTTATATTTTTACGAGTTGATCACGGATTGATATCAGTTAGAGAACCATTGAAAACCAGGGAGTACTGGACATCTGCTGTTTCATCCTAGTTTGGGAATCATCGGCAGTACGCACCCACTGGGATTCGAACCCAGGACCTTCCGGTTACAAGGCAAGCTCGTATACCATTCAGCCACTGGGACCCGATTCAATGGCTCGTGAATTCTAACTTCTACCAATTAGTGATTTAGCGTGACCCCAACCATTGTCGTTGGTGTCACATCCATCCACACATGTGACATCTAATTGGACCTCACTGGTCACGACTTCTCACTAGAGCTCAGGAAACTCCAACCTGTAGCAAGTTACTAGCGAGCATCAGATTAATTTTCTATAGTAGATTAAGTAATAATAATAATAGTAATGTGGTAAATGTTTTGAACGACATTAATAACGATGATTGTAATGATAACAAAATATTGATAATAAGGTTTATGCAGGTGGCGATAAGAATAACACAGGTAGTAACATGTATATATGTAGACAATCCAATAAATAAATTAGGTCAAATCTTAAAAGTTACGTAATACCAAAGGTAAAGTGGACACAGTCAGATTGATAGTGGTCACCAAGTGGACAAAAATAGTGCCTTAGAAGTTATTTGTCACATTCCATCGAGCCTTTCGAACCCGTCTTTCACACAGCCGAAGCTATGGGAATTCGAGAGAACAATCCTAGTCTTTGTATACAAAAGAAGTTTGTTCTACCTTTGTCTCTCCCTTGGCCTAGGTGAATTATATTCAAAACCTCCCCACCCTTTCTTATTTTTCATCTCCTTCGTACTTTTATGATATTTATTGGATTGTATACATATACACATGTTACTACCTGTGTTATTCTTACCGCCACCTGCATAAACCTTATTATCAATATTTTGTTATCATTATAATCATCGTTATTAATGTCGTTCAAAACATTTACCACATTATTATTATTTGATCCACAAACTCACCATCATTGGTTAAATTCCGTTTTATATGTAAATCGATAAATCTACTTCTTTCTCGCAAAACTTGAAAACGGGAAATTGAAGGATACCATCAAGGAGTTGGGTATGTATTACCGATATGTCGATGATACATTTATCTTAGCTGATGAGAATGTTAATATAGACGAATTGTTACTTAAATTCAACAACATTCACCCTTCGCTTACCTTTACTTGTGAAGAGGAGCAGGAGAATAAACTACATTTCCTGGATGTCTTGCTAAGAAGGAGAGAAGATGGGTCACTTGGGAGAAGTGTGTACAGAAAAAGCACATTCACAGGGTAATAGACTCATTTCCTTAGTTAAGTGCCCATTAAATATAAAAGGAATGTTGTTAAATATCTTGCGAGTAGAGTAGGGAAGATATGTACGGATGACCTCTTACAAAAGGAATTTGAATATATTCACGATTCCTTGACGGAGATGGGTTATCTGAGTAGTTTCATAAATAAACATATGAAACCATCAGAGAAAAAACCTGTGACTCTGACTGCACATAAGAAACCTCTGTTTATTAAGTTACAATTTAATGGTGACTTATCTAGTGAGATTCTCTTCCAAAGACTTTCAAGGAGTATACGTAGAACATTTTACGCAGCACACCTATGTTTGTCATTCTCTAGCCGACGAATGATTGGGACGCAAACGAAGGATAAGCTTGATAGTTTCGCCATACCTATGTGTATTTATCAATTCAACTGCACCTGCGGTGACAGTTATGTTGGGCGTACTACTAGACAGCTTAGCCAAGGTGTTAGTGAACATCTCCCATCGTGGTTTGGCAAAGGACAGACAAAAACAATCCACAGCTCAATTCTGTCACATCTAATTGATAGTGGTCATGTAGTCGAGAAAGCGAAAGCCTTCAGAGTAATTCATCGTATTCCCACCGAATCTTCCTAATAGACTTCGCATTCGTCTACTTCACACAGCTGAGGCGATAGGCATTCGAACTATTAAACCTAAACTATACATTCAAAAGAAGTTCGTGCAGCCATTATCCCTCCCGCGGCCTAATAAGACATAACCAACGAAAGACTTCTACACCACCTCTTATTTATATTTCCAACCCCTTTCTTATCATCCCTTAATCTTATCTTATATTCATTATAAACGTGTTTCATTTCCTTCCCCTACAATCTAACATTACGTAATCGGTTCATTTGTTTTTACTAGCCTTTATCGACTACTTCCACCTGAACAATTGTTTGTTTAATCATACTGTTTTTCATTACTCGTGTTATCACAGAATGCCTCATTTTTTCATCCTTATTATTGATAAGACCATTATTATTGTTATTACTATTATTAATATTATCATTACCACTATTATGACTATTGCACAATTTATATTCACCATCGTATTATCCTATAAACAAAACACCATGATTGGTTTATATTTGGATTCTTATTTGTAAACTTACATATATTAGAGTTAAGCCTAATGATATCTAATTGAAAACAATATTGTTCGCTTAAATATGTTGTTCTATTTAGATAAAGCAGTAAGAAGACATAATTTGTCTGAATCGTGTTATGTATTTGCGCAACACATTTCGAACAATCTGATCACACACGGGCTTGTCATAGGAATATATATGAAATTAATAAAGAGTTAACACGAGAGAAACTAGACTTAGGTCAAGTTAGAATGACGTATTGAAGGTCAAAATAACAATGAAGACCACTAAACCAAATAGCAGAGGTAATAGTACATCTCATATGGTATCAAAACAAAATTTACCAATGAGGGTTTAATGTGATGACCAATTGTCTTTGAACGCATAAAGGTGGTTTAAACTTTTTAATTGCTAGCTAGGGCTTCTAAAAACTTTAGGATACGCCTCAAACACGTTTTATAGATAGGTTTAAAAGATCTGTTCATGCCAATTTTATATCCTGTCTGTATAATATGTTTCGCAATAGGAGAGCTAGGTCTCCTGTTCTCATCGTTAATGGGTTCTGAAGATTCCATTTGTTTTTGGAGCCATTTAGGAATATGCTGTGAAGCCAGCTCTTACTTGCAGAGGTCTATGAGTCCTTCCTATCTGTCAAATGGTGGGTGGTGACTAGCAGTGGAATCCGGGATGCAAATTTCCTCCTATTTAGGACTCGTCACCTGAATGGACACCTGCATTACGCGGTGAGTGATGGTGCTCCCAGTAAGGCTCCAACCCCAGTACCCATAGTTTCAAATGCCGAAACGTTATCCACTGGATCACGAGAGCCACCTCTTGTGTAATAGGTCATATTAATTATTTAATTCAATTTTAGATTCTCCCGTCCATTAATTGGACCAAAGTGCTTGGTCGCAGATGACGGGTCCCAAATAGGACGAGATGCTCATCTTGGATTCCACTGCTGGTCACCATCCACCAGTTGACTTCTAGTTACACAACCAGACATCGTCGAAGCATCTGTGCAAGGAGCCGACATATCAACCTGAGGCTGAACTCTTCGGTCCAATCAATCGGTAGGAAAATCGAAAATTGAATTATAGATATATACTCTCTGTTTGAACTCGGTTGCCCGGATCAAATCTTCCATGCACCAAATATTGAGGTACACATATATTAAGTGAGGTTTCATGATACTGTTGTAACAACAGAAGACAAGGGCCAGGCAACAGATCGTTTATTAAAGAAATCAACACATTTATATATTTTCATGTACATTAATATGGATTATTGTCAGCAGAAAAACACAGTCTTCTGATTGTTTGCTTTTCACAGAAAGTTAACCTTGTATCCCTTTGTGGCTGTTTCTTGAATCAGAGTTCAGCCGCGAAGGTTTTCATCATTTAGCGGGACAGGTGGTTTCTTAGTATCTCTGATGATAAGTCTCCATCGAACTGTAAATTCAGATAGAAAAGTATTTTGGGAGCAGAAAGTATGGGCAATTTTAGTAGTTTAGGATTCATGGATTTTGTGGTGAAACGTTCTTGGTAGACATTTTAAATGAAATTACATACTCACACAGCACCTCAGTTTTACATATACATGAAAGTTATTTATTAACTCATTGTGGTCTTTTGATTGTTATGATTGGTGCTGATCATACCGTTGCAAATATTATTATTATTCCCTTGGGTCACGAGTGGTATTGTAACGACAAAAGACAAGGGCCAGGTAACAGATCGTGTAG